TTACAGAGTGATTTCACATTATTCTGACAGTGATTTATAGCTATATATATATATATAAATGTGCATTAAAGTATACAGAACATCTTACTATGTGGGCTGGAATTAATAGATACATTTTACTGAGTTATTAGTTCTTAAATGGATTTCGTGTGAAGCCAGCTTAGTGCTGTTGCAGTGATGTCAGACAAGATAATGTGCCATCAGAATAGCTGTCGTTTGCATTTCTTAAAAGATCTTTGACTTTGTTTCCCGCTACATACTACTTACAAGCAAAATTGTGAGTGGCGTAAAACATAAGAAAACCTGATATCACTAGAATCGTCATTTCAACAACTCAATTCCCATAAAATTTATATTCTTAGTTTTGGAGAATATAATTTTGATGATAGTCATTTTTTATAGGACCAGCTCGAAAAAGAGGATTAATTTTTAAAATTTCCGTTTGGTCATACCATTTCAGTTACAAGTTGTTTATTATGGTCATCAGTAGGTATTATATACATTTCTATTAAGATGAACTCTTTTATACATTATTTAGTAACACCACACACCATGATAATTGCCAAATCATCAGAGTGCGTAAAGCAAAACACTATAAGTTATTACATAGCCATACATAATAATTCACTTGTATGGACGGATGATTCTCTGTGCAATAAGACTGTCAAAATTCAATTTTTTTATTTATAACTGTTTGAAGTGATTATGTCTTTCTAAACATATTCGTCAAAGTAATTTGTGCTTATAAAAAGGAGCATTTTGAAGCCTATAAACTTATAAATCAAGAACTTGTGTGCAGATTCATTATTATTTAACGTAGATAAGAACACATACAGTTAACTATTTTAGAAGAGATCTGTTGGTAAAATGGTTGGGTATTTTTACTAGTTAAACTTAGCGGTACATAAATGCCCCAAACAAATAGCTCTGTAAATGTTAGACATTGGATGCTGTCCACATTAGTTTGAATGGACTCACCCTGCTGAGGGCACTCGGTCATGCATCCGCACCAGATCACGAGTGGAAACACCGTGCTCAACATCCCCCTGCAATCGCTAGTCAGATTAGATCAGTCGAACCATGGTATATTAAATAAAGACAGAACAAACATTGGTGCAGAATAATATGAATTCATTATATTTCGTGGTTTCTCATCAGCTGCTTACAACCAAATATGCATGGTATATTGATAACCTATCAAATATATCTTCCAACCCCCTCGCTTCTGTCTTTTGATTTCACTAGGTGGGTACGATTCATTGTAGGCGTTACTGGCTGAAGCGTTGTCAGACTCAAAATACCTGTGGCATCTTCAAACTTATTAAGTAGACGACAATTTTAGATAACATACCTTTTAGAAAGTATTAGAATATTGCATAGAATCCATTTTGAATGTTTCATGTGTGAAAATCCCTCCATGCATATATACATAGCTTCTTCTTAATGTTCTCCTTGTTTGTACATTGTTGTTAGTATTTTTGGTACCATTTTGTATTGTGATGTTTCATTTCATGATAGTTTTCTCAGTTTCTTCTGTTGCTTTCATTGGGTTTCATATCCTTCATCAACTGTATATAATTTGTTTCAATTGATATTATTCTGGCGGCTACCATATTGACTGCTCGCTCTTTCATTGGGCTGTTTGATTTTGACTGGGATCGTGCAATTTGGTTGTAAATTGGAGCACCTTCCCAGAATTTTAAACACGTTGTATTATAGAACAGTCGCCCAAACGAAATTTTTCTTGATCTATCCAGAAAGGATAGAATAACAGTTACCTTTTGGTGTGTTCGGTAAATTTCTTATATTTCTTATCAACTTCCTATTTATTGTAATTTAGATTGATTAATTTGGGATCAATTGTTGGTTGAATAACTGTGTGGTAATATTTCTTTAGGTAAATTTGTACATTTGTATATATGATGAATTTTAGAACCGTTATTACCCCAATCATCTTGTTCTGGTTTCGACTGGGATCTGCGAGTTTCTTCACTTTTACTTGCCAGTTATTCAGTAATCCGAACCTAGTTGGAACTAGGTTTGGATCGAACATATTGTGCTGCATTATCTTAGTCATTTTTCAAATAAAAGCACGAGTGAAGGGGCTGTGATTTAGTTTGTCATAAAATAACTGACTAGCAGTGAAATGAAAAATAATGCTGGAATTTATGTTTCAGCTTCTCGTTCAGCATGCTGATATTTTGATTTGTTCAGGATTTTGATTTTTTTGCAAAAGTGAGCCAATGTATTATCTCACTGTATTTGTATTCAGGAATTAAGCTTCTCTTGAATGATGTGGTAAAAATCCTTTTAAAGATTGTTTGGATTAATGTACCTTTCTGTTTACTTTTTGGGTTCTGTGAAATTTCACTGAGCCCTTGACGAATTACTGAGCAGACAGGTCTCTGAATCACTAATAGATTACCATGGTTCAACAAGTTCAAGGACTACCAATGCGAATTGATTGATTACATGCTAAGGATAGGCGCATGAGGTATTGCATCGTACCTGTTTGATTTGCTAATATCAAAATATGTCGTGATCGTTTGAAGTTTTATCACCCGTATATCATGATAGCATACCCCAGACTAAGTGTTAAACATGACTCATGACGTTGATGTAGGCTGTAAAGACACACTATTCCCGACAACTTGAGTAGATTACTGAGACTTCTGATCTTAACTTTGTTTCGAATTTTGTCATAACCCTCTCTTAAAACTTATAGTCATCTTAACTTTTAGATGGTATGAATGCAAAATATACTGAAGAGACTAATTTAAGAAAAAATTGTGCATTTGGAAATGTTCGAATTTCTCCACATCGGACTCACAGCATGTCCTGTAGACCCGGATCTCAACTGGTTATTGTTGATTTTCAACTTGTCACTATCTGTCTCTTTATTTTTATTGTACCTCCCTTTGGTTTGATTTATAGTTCAGTATTTCTTCATGACTCTTCCGATTGTTCGACAGATTGAATCAATTTCGATAAGTCTGTGGATTGTCGATCGACTTCAATGCAAAGCTTTTAGAAATTCTCTGGTGCTTTCACTATTTCGTCTGTACAATATTTTTATATTTTTCCACTAAAAATGTTTGTCTACAGTAGTTCACATTCATTAGTATAAGTGATGATACGTTAAAACATTTGACTGCTTATTGGTGTTTATGCAGGTGCGTGCACTTTATCCAATGTAATGTTTCATGTAGTTGAAACAGACTATTTTTCAGACGACGTTTGGTTTTTCTTCCTATGCCATTTCACCCCTTGATTTGCATGCAATTGACTGAATTCATTTTGCTGGTTTGTGTACCACAGATAACCCAAACGGCCTAATAATCTTGTTGTAACTTCTGATATGTCTTCAATATATTGTACGATGTTGCTATACTTGATTTCATCCCTGCTGATTAGTTGCGTTGATATTTTTTATGAAGGTGCGTGGACAGTCTTTCTTTCTCAAGGCATTTATCAGATATATTCATCCGTTTTTCTACCATATAAATGTGCTGCATAGCATTTTCGCTGACTTAAATAAAGTTTCTAAGTAAGTGGTTTTGTGAGTTCATGGGTTGTTGCTGCTCAAACTAAGAATTTGTTCTGTGTAGGTTGGCTTCCAACATGGATGTTGACGTACTTTATCCTGCCTTATTGTCTATTCGGATGTTCTTCTGTTCAATTAGTATCCTGGCATTAAAGAAATAGAAACCCTTAAGACGAAGTAGTAATATTAATTTAATAATCTTACAATGTATACGACACTAATATGACTATTAGTCCCTCAGAAACAAAAGCAATCGCATCATCGCATCATCATAAGGTTTTTATTATATATGATATGATTCGGCTTTTTCTGGCATAATTCTTTCTCATCTTTAGTAGTGGTGCACTTGGCAATCGTCACTTTACGTTTTTTGTACCAACTCATACTAATATATATATATATATATATATATATATATATATATATATATATATATATGTTAGAGAGTTGTTCGTTTTTTACGGCTGTCAAATTATTCATCGTACATGGATACAAAAAATAGCATTGTAGTGGCATTGAGTCCTAACCATATATCCTCAAAGGTGAACGTGAGACAACTGGGAAAAGAGTTGTTCAACATTTAACGCAGAGGAAAACCGAACGATTGAGAAGCCGGTAAGGAGGGATTCAACTAATTCAATGCATCGGGTAACATGGCTCAGCCTTGCAGGCGTGGTACCTCTGTATGAATCGTATTTACTCGTATTAAATATATTGTTCTATCTTCAGCCTAAATGTTTTCCCCGTCATACATTGGTAATTGTTACGATACGATCAGTCGGTGTAGACAATGATGTGATCTCCATGTAGGATCTTATAGATTAGGCAGTTACATCATGACAGATCTACAATTTTAGGATAAGTTCTATTATTGAAGTAGTACTATTAACGTAGAAGTCCATAATTCCACAGCATCGACCGAGAGGTATGACTTTGATGCAAGCCGGAAGTCACACTATTTCCATCCAACTTCAGTAAGACCTTGATCGTTTTCATAGATCGCCTTCCGTGACGATTCCTTGTTTGGTTCATTAAATGATGAGTAAATAGCAAATAACAGACATGAGAGGAAAACTTACATTCTTTGGTCATGACAAACTTTACTCGATGAAGCGATTTACCCTTAAACGCATTATACGCACTTAAACAGATTCAGTATTCTGAAATTTATGGCAAGATTTTCAGCAGTTGTACCATTTATACAATGGACAAAGTCTTCGAAGTAATTTTTACTTAACTGTCCATCATAAAATTAAATGGTAAGCAGTTTTATTTTGTAGATTTTAATTTGTAACAATGTTTCATACTCAAAGTTCAACTTACATAACCTGTACTCTAAACTCTCAATGCTGTTCGTTGACCATGTAACTTTGTGTGTGTGTGTAAATCATATAACTTTTGATTAAGAAACACTAACGATGTGATTCCGTTGCGCTGACTTTGTTTTAATGGGTGATGCTTCCTTCAAGGTTATTTACAGCACTTAAATATGGCAACAGATTATCGCTAATCATACCTACACTGCGCACAATGCCTTTCCATATTGGCGACAAAAGCGGTCATTTCGATGCCAACCAAAACAGATTCAATCTTCAAGATCCAGGTTTCGGACCAAGTGAAGGTGTTTACAATAATCGCATGGACCCTCGATATGGCAATATGAATGTGAGTTTCTATTCAAAGTTGCATGGGCTATATTTGTTTTCGTGTAATTTATAAAGGCTTTTCTACTGGTCACCATTTAACGTAAAGAGAAACGAATTGTACACCAAAATGAGTTGTTGATCGAGCGCTTAGATTCGACCAGTTAACTACTATATCAATAAATGTTGTGTATAATTTTTATGTATCTACAAATCTCTGTATTTCGATCATAAACTTTTACGGATAATAATCCAGATGTACGATGAAAACATCACCGTGTGCCAAAATATGGTACTTTTATCAGAGCTATGTGTAAAGACCTAGACCATTGTACATTTCAAGCGTTTTTCCCATTTCATTAGGAATGTAAACCGAATCGGTGTTATCTCAACTTTGATTGGTCCTTCAGTGCAGTAAAAGTTTACTATTAAATACACTGATATCGTTTTAAATACTCACAGTACACCAAAATATATACCGAACTTAGGGTAGTAATAGAGTCGTTATTATCATTCATTTACGTTTTGGTCGTAGGCCTGAGGACATTACATCGTGTTTACATCCGACAAAAATTCAATTTATTCACAAGAATTTTTGATGTATTTTGATAAATTTCTTTAAAAGTGTGCATATAATTCAATTTGTCCAGAGTCACTTGATGTTCAAACATTTACATCCTTAGGGTGAATATATCACTTACCCTCTATATGACATATTTAGACGTTATATTATACTCTTCAATTAAGTTCTATTCCTGAATTTCGTTTATCGATGCATCGTGCTACGTAAATTGTTCACATATGACCAAGTAAAATTCTCGTGCGCTTTCAGTTCTGTGGAATAGTTCGATGAAATTAGTTGAAACGGTACCATAACTATTAGTTAGTTATTCTAATGACAGCAGTTGTAAACTGCGAAACGATTGTAAAATTTGATCTTAAGAAATGATCACTTGTTTACTGAACTTTGAACTTCAACATCTTGATAGATGTAAACATTTCCTGCAGGATAGCGAGATAATTAAAGTCGATATTTACACGCCAGAAGTGAAAATGCTTCCTTAGAAACTTAATCATTTATCTTCTACCAAATCTAAGATACTTATGTGATCTCATATTCATCACTACATGACTTTGTCCGCGTTCTTAAAAAACTGGACGGTAAAACTTTACCTATAAAACAAGCCTCTTCTTAGAGAAAACGTTCACGTGTATGTAAATGTTCCCACCACACAGTTCATACTAAAAATTCAAAAATATTTTTCCTATGTTTTGGTATTACATCTCATAGCCAAACTATTACGGTGGGGTGCCTGGAACATTTGGAGGAAATGGGATGTACGGACAGGACATCTATAATCAGCAACCAGGCTCTCAAGCCTGGAATGCGGGAAGACGACATTTAAATGGCTCGGATTCGGTGAGTAAACAAATTTAAGCAACGTTACTTTAATAGATATCACCATGCTCTTTTGAATATTATCTCCTTTGAATTGCTCAGATCATCATGAATTTATTTAAACATCGTGCAATATTATGCGCCAGTATGACAAATGTTATAAATATGCGCAAAAACATAGCATGCAGTTAGTTTTGACAACAATTGTCTTTTTTGAAACGTAGAATTAGTCTTGATCGTTACCTGAATAATGTGGGACAGGCGTAGGAATTAATCACGAAAGGAGTTTCGAGCTTCAGCCATTTGTAATAGCGTTTACTATTTCCCATTTCTAAACAAAATGGTTGGTTGGAGCTTTTTACAACTCAAAGTAACCAAATTATAAGGGAAGGAATGATAACATCACCGATACAGACGTTTTATACACATCTCAGAACTTTCATTTAGTCTACACTGAAATTTTATACAAAGTTCGACTTCCAACATTCAGCTTTTTTTAGAAGGCGTTTCCAGCAAAGCACTTCAATAGAAAACGCTTTTCAACCGCAAATGTGATTTGTACAAATTGTTGAGGCAATAATTATTTGGCCAATACATCTTCAACAATTCTTTACTACTCTAGAAAATTGCTTTACATATTCGTGTAAAATAGGTTGTCAACGATTTTATTTCGCTTGTCCTTCTCAATAAATGGGAGGAAAACAGTCTTTATGTTAATCAACGGCGTTATTTTCATTGCACCTATAGATCATATAGTGAAGATTGTGATTGCATTCAAGTGCTATTTCTAGACGCTTTTAAATGAGAGGATATAAAATAAGGTCAGATGATAGAAAGTACTCTAAAAGGGAACCTAAAGCTTATTTTTCACAATAAAAGCATATCGTCAATATTTAATTACTTTGAGTAATAATCCAGAATGTAAAAATCTGCAAAGTGAATGCTCGTATTTAATAACCATAAATGTAACGAAACTCCTACTGATCTATTTAGTCGTTTATTAAATCTAACTTGAATGTCATGTCCACTGAATAACAAACTAGCAATCTTATTATTATTATAATTATTAATAAAGATGAAAAAACTATATTTATAAGTTACGTTGCTTATACTAAGTCAGCAACTCGAACGTTTTATGTTAAGTTCTTATTATTTCCTCATTTCAGGATGACTCTGACATTGATAAACGCAATTTCAGAGGTTCAGGACCGGGTTGGAAGTACGTTCGATCATTAATTTTACCTGTGTAACTTTTTTTGAGCCATAAAATGTATTGATAGTTTCTTAGGATTCACACTAATCAGAATATACACAAAACAAAAGGGTATTTCACAAAAGATTATTCACAGCTCATCTTGAAAAGTTAAATACTTGAATCACTTGGTCATCTTATGTTGGCAGAAAAAATATTAGAGGCTAAGAGTCTATGAAAAATACTTAGTTCGTAGTTTTAGACCTTGAGTTAGTCATCAACAACGACTCGATAGCCAGCTTTCCTTAACAGCTTGGTTTCTCTTGCTTAAGGCTGTATTTATTCGAACGGCTGAAGTGCAACAACAGGATTTGTATCAGTTCACGTTTAAAGTGAAACATTCGCAATTCTTGATCGTGTTAACCCTCAACCAAAAAAGTGCTTATGACAGTTGTTTTGAAGTAATTATGATACTTTTTAGTGTATTCCCCTTAAATGTACATATTATTTTAATGCTGACATTTCCAACACTGAAATGCATTGATCACTAATTAGTATCCCTTTGTTTTTATTTTATTTAAGAAGAGAATTCGCGAAATGTTCACTATTTTTGTCGTTGATAAATATTGCATTCATACTGCTTTCTTTGTTAAACCGGGTTCTCATCTTCCTGATAAACCGATGTAACTGATCTCAACAAAACCTACTATGAATTGTAAAATGACTTACGTTTTTCAATCTTATTGTAACATCGACTAAATATGTGTCAGTTTTGTCAGCGATACGAATAAAATCAATCATTTTCGGCCAGTGCTCAAGAAATTAAGATGTACTTTATCTGCTTGAACCACTATATCTTGTTATGAATACTTGACCTGTAGTTTATTAATGATGCTTCGCGTTGATTGATGATGCCTGGTGTTTTTGTGAGTGGCTAATTTGTTTTTCTGTAACAACAAATGGAGAAATAATATCACTTAACTAATTGCTCGAGTAACACAGATACATACATCAAAAACATAAAAACCTTAAATACAAAGGTTAAAACAGTTATTTCGTTAAATAAACCTTTTGTGAGTGATGAATCAGTCATGGCAAAGTCGTGTGCCTAAGCATGACAATATCAATGTCAATAGTAACTGTTACTTTACCAAAATAATTGTGGCTTCATGGTTTGGAGTAAACAACGCTAATGTCTATAATGCATGTAAAATGTTTCCTTTATTTTGTAAAATAGTCAGGGACGACATGGTTCACATTCAAATCGACGTGGTCACTCTAGCGATCGTGGTTCAAGTTCAGAGTAAGTAAGGCATTTTTATCACAAACAAAGGAATTCGGTATTGGTCCATCTGTCTGTTGTTGTATGGGTTTTGTAAAACATATTTTACCATACATGTTTAGGTACATACATTTCTAATCCCACGACATTTCATAAATCTTGAAGTAGTTTTTCAGCGGTTAAAAAAACACTAATTTAGGTCAGTTATCGAGTAAGCAGTTGTTTAGTATGAATAACTCGATCATAATCACACCTTTACACACATGATACAACCAATTTTGTAAAATCGTTACACTAATAAGGGGAGTATAAAATTCAGTTTTTTTTAGTACGGACAGATTTAAAGAAACATCAGTCACTATTAATTAGCTCTAGAAAGTGTACAACCAGAAATTACTTCTGCAAAGACTAGAGGACAATAGCAGCTATCTAGAAGATTGTTACATTTACATTTTATATGCTTTTAAACGATCTTATGATGGTGCAAAGTACTAGAAATTTCTGAAGTACAAGATGAGTTTATATTTCGCAAGTTTTCCGTTTCAACACTTGCTAGTCTACAGAACAGGCACATTAAAACGTCAAAAAATGACTATTATTGGCGAAAAACATTTTCTTTTTGAATACATCACATTCCAAAACTGTAAGATCGCATATATAGGTGAGTTTTTTATGTAGTAGTTTGTCGTAAAATAGTAGAGTTTTACAAAATGATCAAAGACATTAAAACTCGTTCAAATGAAGGTCAATGAAAATGTAGTAATGTTTCATAGTGTGGTTAAGATTATCAAAGCATTTTAAGTGTTGAGTATAATAATTCATAAGTAGAAGTATGTTGCCTAAATGCAATTAAAGTTTTCGAGTATAAAAAATAATGTGGTTGCATCATTCGGCAAAGCAATTAAAAACCATCAAGATCTTACGCTAAGTAATAGTTTCGGAAGTAGTAGAAGTTAATTATCCATGAGATGGAAGATAAAGATGGTTGTCTACTTAATGAACGAAGAGATGAAAAAGGTAATAAAAAGCTATTATAATTTGTAAAACTTGAAGGGATACCAAGACCATGGGAGAATAAGAAACAGAATGGGCTCCTTCTGTGCATAGAGTTTGAGTTTGAAATGGTGAATTGGTGTTGGCTCGATTGTATCGAAATTGCTCATCCAAACCTTTTTCAGCTAGTTCTCCTTAATTTGTGGAGGATTTTGAACAAAGATTCATGTAGTATAGTATTAGTTGAATAAAGCCATTAATAATAATAATAAGCACGTGTTCAAGAACTGAGCTTTTGATCGATTAATATTTCCATTTAGATAACTCTGCGTGGTGGCGCTTGGATAATGGTTTACCAAGTGTGTTATTTGTAAGGCCGGTATAAATCGTTCCACAAAAGCAAGTAAACTGGTTGAATCACATTGTAAGGGTTCAGTAATTGTCATCACTCGATTATGTTCACAACAGAAGCTTAGTCTTTTAATATGTTGAAATTTGATAGATTCAGCTGACATCAAGTTAGATTTGAATTCAATAACATTGTGGAATTATTTTAAAAACATAACAAACTTGTGTCATGGTATTATTGTGTTTAACAAAATGTTGCTTCTGGAATAGCCTGGATTAGCGTCTGAATTAATAATAGGGATTGAAGTAGTTGAGTGTTTTGGTCGTTTCATCTATCTCGGGAGCCTTGTCTGCTCTTTTGGGTTGGTGTCGAGCGAAATCTTGATTCAAATTCAGAAAGCTTAATTATATTCTGTCTGCTAATCAAAGGATGGGTTTACAGCATAGAATTTTACTCTGTTCTACTATAAGGCTATAAAATATGGTTAATAAAAATAGAGGATATTTATAAGTCTTCAGTATTCGTTTATTTTAGAATCCTGGAGTCGATAATTAGTTGGACAGGAATAGGGTACCCGGTAAAGATGACAAATTGGTTAGTGAGGAAGTACATCTTCATTAACCGGGCAGTGTAAGACATGTGTGACGTATGCTCAGTCACCGCTTATCTCGTTGGGCGGTTTTGCCTGATGTGAGAGTAGTTAGTAAGGAAGCTAGTGGTAGCCCAGTCAAAACAGGACATCATTCCATGAAGCCATTGACAAATGAACTGACACATGGTAATGGATGCAGACTAATTGACTGGGATCCAGGAGATCATCGTAACAAATGGTTAGAGACTTTGAATAACATAGTTCAACACTGTTTATAATGACATAGGTAGGTTCACTCTTTGCCTTTTCTTATATTCTAAGTCCATAAACTTTTTAGCCTTTTTATTTTACTAATTTATAACTTCTTGAATCGTATCTTCGATACTTATTTCTTTATTACAACTGATATTACTACTTCCTGTGCTGGTCTGTGATTTGCCTTGACCTATTCACTACGCTGTGTTAGCTGTGGCAACTTGAACCGATGTACATAAGTACCGAGTTCTACGTTGCGTATGACTAATTGATATGTTGATGTTTAACTAGGAAATTGTACAACTGTTTAAGGGATACTGAATTAGAGGAATAATGGTACTCAATGATCAAACAGACAAGTAATAACAGGGTAGTTTTTTAACAAGTAAACTATATTTTTCTCAATAAATCAAAGTTGACCTACTTTCTTTTACCAGTGAAGGAAGGCGTAACAGACATTGGCGCTAGAGAAATTTTGTCAATGTTTATCTGGTTCGTGTTCTTTCTGAACATTTATCACTATTGGTAAGTGATTTATGTATTTTTTTTACATAAAAGTATGTTGTATTGAGTTGTAGCTCTGATCTGAAAATACATGTATAACAGTGCACACTGACTGAGTCGACTGTCATCACAAGCAAACAACTACACTCACTGCCTCCAAGAAATATAATAACCGTTGTGTTTATTCCATATTTATTTTCAGAATTATTATTGATATTCATATTTCGATGAATTCCACCCCGTTGTTTATTAATTTTAACTTAAAACCTTTTTTCGCCTACATCATCGGATGAAGACAAGTGCGAACACATGTTTGACTGGGAAGACATTAACATCTTAGTTTGAGGCAACACATAAAATATAGAAAAACGTTTTGAAAGCTTTACATTCTGACCAGTCAGTAAACATACTAAAATAGACCTAAATAATCAACTAGTTAGAATAAGGGAGGAAGATCAAAATAAATGTGCAGATCATCGCAAGACTATTGCTAACAAAATCCAATAAAACTCGATGTTAACAACTCTAAAATAGGGGAACTCCATTACTTTACTTTTATCTGAGATTTTTGCTGTTCATGCTGCCCAGATAGATAATGAAGGGTTCACGACTGTACCACAAAGCTCATATAAGGCGATTTCATCAAAGCCTCATCATTAAAAATAAGGTAATCAGTGGTTGGAAGTTATTGATTATCATTGAGTTAGCTGACGATACGAGGAGATTAGCAGAACAATATCTGCTAATTCTGTAAGCTCAGCGCAATATCAACTTTCATTAGTAATTCTATATGTTTACATTATTTCAACACACCATAAACTACATTAAGTAATTTTTCTTTATGATTTTCAGATTTTTGATATTACCTTTTATTCAAAGAAAGCTATAAAATGAATGAAATACAATTAGAATGTGCTTATTCGATATTTACTTACGTTTTGGTTGATTTGTTTTTTTTTATATTGTGAAATACATTTTCTATATTCGTCTTCTGTTTATCTTTTTAATGACTCACTAATTCAGGTGAGTTCTCAGTGTGCGAAACATTGCTAGTGAATAATCATGAATTTTAACATAAGCATTAGTTTATTTACTTTCACGCTCGAATATTTCAAGTGACAGAACTATTTAGCACAGTCTGATTAGAAAATGGAAAATGGGGTAAATATCCACATGAATTAAAACATTTTCTATGAGTTAGCTCTGTTGAACGTATGGTACAAGATAAATCTTGGAACTTGATCAACCTATTTTGAACAACCCTTTGTCTGTCTACGGGAAGAACAATGAACAGGAATAATCTGATTTATAGTAGAATAACCAATTCAACTGCTCAATTAACTTTTCAGAGATCAGTGCTATTCGGTCTACTTCTGTTTTGAGTATTTATGAACCAAACAGTTATTGATTGCTAAATAGTATTGCTACCGTATTGTAAATAAGTCTAAGAAAAGCAATATATTATCAACCGAAAGATTTTAGTGACATGAATGACAACCAAAAAGGTTGTATTCTTTAAAGATAAACAGTAATAATTGTAACTTTATACTTAGAATCAGTGCGAATTTCCGAACGACTGGATTATCATACGTCTTAAAATTCAAATTACAGAAGATCCTTTAAGTTTAGTATAATAAAAAACCCAACAAATAGGTATATATCACAGGTAAGAAATATTCTTTGAATAAATAACGTTATTCAGTCTACTAACATGTGATTTTATAATTGAATATTACAATGTTTCTAAAGGAAACTATATGGTAAAAATGAGATACACCGTTCGAATCTGCTCAGATGACTCGGTCACAAGTGAATTAATTAATCCATTATCTAGTTACCGAATTATCGTAATCTCTAGTATCCATTATTACAGTCATCTGTTTCTGAACGACATGTCGCACTTTTTTCTATATCATTATGCATTTAATCATAAATTTCTGCAAGATAATCATGAGAATATCTGAAGAAATTGAAACTTAATTAAACCTGTACTAAAGTTAGAGATTTTATTCGTCATGCTTGGATAACTATTTCTTAAAATAGAATGAAATATTTATACTCCTGCCTAGTACTTGTACTTTAAATATGTGATATAGGGACTTCAGAGATGATGAAAACAAATTTTAATTCTTATGGGAATAGATGCAAATTTTAAGAGTAGCTTATGTACAATGAACAAGTTCGGCTGTGAAAACATTTCATGAAAATTTGCATTCAGCTCATTTAGGGAATTGATTTCTTACACCTAGTGAAATTGTGTTTAAGTAGATTTTGGCGGGGTATTTGTTGTGATCCAACTCAGTAGAATTAGTTACTCTTTAGACAAGTGACTTGGTGACTCAGTATATATGAAGTTGATAAGGTCAACACAACAACGTATAAGACTAAAGAATTTGAGAATTACTGCTACCACACTACTGATAGCCATTTACAGGGAATTTATATGCTTTCCAGTATATGTTTCTAAAAACTGGTGTGTTGAAACACAGAGTTTCAGTTTTTGTACTTCCGGATACCATACTGTGAATATCAACTACGAAGTTATGGAATATATAGTAGGATTTATTGAATGCCATTGATAGCGTGTATTCGCTCACTAGAATAACACAATGACCACGGAATATCGAACTAGTGATACACCAACCTTTGGATTAGATAGTGTGTAGAAACTATTTGCTTTTGCTTTTGTTGACCTTTAAAGTGCCCATTGGAATGTTTGTGCTAACTTCTTGTTGTTATAACCCGTTTTCAAGTCTTTGGTAATGTCCAATTTGCAGTAGTTCAGGTTTCTGGATACCAAGAATTATCATAACATTAGGTAGGAGGTTGGTTCACTGAAACATAAAAATAATAATAAAAGATTTAAATGAAATTTAACGATCTCCATAACCACATACTAAAAATTATCATTTCCTCACTGATGACTAGCTTCAAGAGTCAATTCTCGGAGTTGAAGTAGGATGATGTGACCAGAGGAGTTCAGTCGTGTTGGGTGTCAGGCAATTCTACATCAAAGAAAATGAAAGACGGTTAAGCAATATCAAGGACTGATTGAAGTTAGACATTAACGCCGTAGGATCCCGGCTCAACGGTCTAGATGTTAAGCGTTCGCGCGTGTAGCTGTAAATAATCTCCCAAAATCAATAGCTCATTAAGTGTTCGACATTGGATGCTGACCACGTTGTTTAAGTGGACTTGTTTAACTGAAGGCTTTCGGTCATGCATCCGTACCAGATCACGTTGCAACACGGCGTGGGACACAGCTCCTACGTTACAATAGCCAGTTAAGAACGAAGTCTCTCGATATATTGGTAACGAATCAAATATATCTTTCCTGTCTCTCCTCGTCTGACTTCTGGTTTCTATTCGACTGGGAACGAACGATTATAGAAGATACTACTGGTTGCTAGTTATAAAACTAGAATATCCGTTGTATCCTCATTGGTGAGCCTAACGTGATCCGGTACACCAAGACAATATACTGTGAGTCTGTTCCATTTTGGAATATTATTATTCATTGTTATTGTTTATTTGAATTTTATATATTGTGATATACTGTTTTTTTCGCAATTTTTTCCCCGGATATATTTTAATTAGACATTTTTCGTTATCTATATTACTATGACGGAACACTCACTGAAGGCTTTTAAGTTAAAGTCTATTCCCCCTATTTCGATCCAGTCAACGCCATTTTGGCCCGACAATATCGAGTCCTGGTTCTGCTGCGCAGAAGCTGATTTTTGCATGCACGGAATCACGGACTCGCGCACACGATTCCCCGCTGTAGTAAAGGCGTTACCGCGCGAGTTTAACAGGTACGTAACGCCTGGTATGTTTACTAGTGATGTTCCCGAACCTTACGAAACTCTCAAATGTGCGATTATAAAACGTGGAGACCTAACCGACCAACAACAGTCAGACCAACTCTTCCATAACATCGACTTGCAACATGGTTGCGCGTCAGACATGTTGCTAAGAATGAGAGATGTTATCGGCCAACGAACTTTCGATGATGGCCTATTCGGACAACTTTTCTTGTGTAAACTTCCTCATCAGGTGCAGGCAGTGCTCGTTTCATTTCAAAACATCGCCATAGATGAGCTGGCTGCATCTGCCGACCGAATCTTAGAAATCACTAAATCTTATAAGGCCGAGGTTTTTCCGCCAAGGAAAAACCTCAATCGACCCCGTCTGGCATAACCGAACTATGTCACACGCTTACACGATTTCTTAGAGTTTGTAATGACCGTAGTCGGTCAAAAACCTCGCGTAGAAGCTTTTCACGCAAGCGATCTGGCTCTCGACCACGAGGGACAGACAATCCCGACTGGTGCTGGTATCACAACCAGTACGTTAAATCTTCTAGAAATTGCAGGAAGCTCTGCAATTACCCGAAGTCTAAGGGGACTGACACGAATAAGATTTCGGGAAACTTCCCAGCCGGCACGCGTTAACGGCAACTGTAGCCGGCGAACACAGCCGTCTGTTATATGTCACAGATGTGACTACGAAAGTTCGCTACCTCGTCGACACTGGCGCAGAAGTTATCGTTCTTCCAGCAAATCCCGACGACAGACTTCGCGAGTCTGTTTTAAGTTTACAGGCGGCAAACGGAAAGCCGATCGCTACTTACGGTGAAAGGTACGTCTACCTTAACGTGGGTTTACGCAAACCCATACACTGATTTTTCGTTGTTGCAGATTTTTGTATGCCAATCATCGGTATAGATCTGTTACAAAACCACAATCTACTCATCGACACACGCTCACGAAGGTTAATAGACGGAAACACTAAGTTATCCGTTTGCGTAACTCCTTGTTCTGGTTGCAGGTTATCCCCAGTCACGACTAAACACACCATAGATCCCTGGTACCAATCAGTACTCGACAAATACCCCGGTATATACCAATCGCAACCGAAATTGCCTTGTGTAACCAGCAATGCTACACATCACATCTCGACTACAGGACCACCTGTATTTTCGAAAGCCCGTCGACTCGCTCCCGAAAAACTTAGGTTAGCTAAAAACGAATTCGAGCAGATGATAGACTTAGGTATAATTCGACCATGGAATAGACCATGGTCATCCCCATTGCACATGGTCCCTTAAAAGGACAGCAACGATTGGCGGCCAACTGGTGATTATCGGCGTCTGAATGCAAAAACCATTCCCGATCGTTACCCGTTGCCTCATATTCACGATTTGACAGCTACCTTGAAAAGTACAACTGTCTTTTCGAAAATCGATTTAGTTAAGGCTTATAACCAAATCCCGATGGCAACTGACGACATTCCTAAAACCGCCATCATCACTCCCTTCGGTCTTTACGAATTCTTGCGAATGGCTGTTGGTTTAAGAAATCCGACTCAAGCCTTCCAAAGGTTTATAGACGACGTCTTCCGAGGTCTCAACTTAGTACATGCGTATGTTGATGACTGTCTAATAGCAAGTCCAGACAGAGAATCACATCTCGAGCATCTGGACATTGTTTTCAATCGACTCCAAAGGCATGGCATTACTGTCAACATACAGAAATGCCAAATCAAAACTAACTCTTTAGACTTCTTAGGACACACTATTGGTGCCCAAGGCATCCGACCCCTTAAGAGCAAAGTGGCGGCCATCCTGGATTATCCAGAACCGACCACGATCAGGCAGTTACGAACTTTTAACGGACTTGTAAGTTTCTATAGACGGTTCATACCCAAATGCGCATCCCTTATGAAACCGTTAACCGATCAGCTTCGTGGAAATGCGAAATCAATTAGTTTAGACGACACAGCCCGTAAAGCATTCTCGACAGTTAAGGAACACATCGCTAAAGCAACCCTGCTTGCTCATCATGACACTCAAGCGCCCATTAGTATTGCCGTAGACGCATCCGACTCAGCAATCGGAGGAGTCTTACAACAATGGGTTAACAACTCGTGGCAACCTTTACAATTTTTCACGAGACGGTTGCTAGACGCGGAATCTAGGTACAGCACGTTCGG